GTTTTATGCTTCACGTTCGCGAAGGAGAATCAATACAGAATATTTGAATCGTTCACCTTCGCGTATAAAATCATAAATGTATGTTCGCGAAGATTCATATATGAATATTTCCGAACCCTGGTTCTACAGCCATGGACACTCACACTAATCAATCAAACTAACAGAACTCTCAGCTAAGTCCCTTTTTCATTGGCAATGCCAGCAGCATCTGTTACTTTGTGCGCCCTTACTCTTGTTTTCTTATCAGCCACTTGCGAGGTCATTACTGCTTCTGCCGCATTAAGAAGGGTGTGCATAATTTCATCAAAGCCCACCGACTACCGACAATTAATTATGAGTTTAGCTAACGCTTTTGTGGCTGCCGCCTTCAAAAGAATTTGCCGATATGGGGAATAGGCGCACAGCTCCCATCGCTGGTTGTTGGATAAATTCTAAAATGCATTCAAAAGATTTGCCTGACGAGATGACATAATACTTAGTACTACTGTGTGGTAAACACCAATTAAGTATTGCATGCGACTTCAATGTTTCGGTATTGCCCTGCTCATATGAGTAGCCCAATTTGGGAAAACCACCCCATTGCCAGCTGCCTGCCACCACCATTGTCACACACAGCCAGCCAGTCGGGGCGTCTGTTTTTCTCGCTTTTTGTTTGCCAACGTCTGCTTTGTGATCAAAGTCGTCATGCCATAGTTTTCCTCACACGTGCTGGCATTCGCATTGGCACACATTGCATTATCATATTTTCCTTGTAACACACTAACCCACTTAGCAACTTTTCCTAACATCCCCTAAGCCTGAGTGGCTGTGCGAAGTCGAGCTGAGCTGATTGCCTTTTCTGCTTCCTGTGCGCCTATTCCGCATATCGGCAAATTCGTTTGAAGGCGTCGGCAACAAAAGCGACGGAAAAACTTTTGTCGGGCGGTTTGGCTTTGATGAAATTATCTTGGTGGTTTTATATGTACATATGTATGTTTTTTTGTTCTTTTCCGCCGGATGGAACTGGCGGTAAGATTCACCGACAAAGCGACTGTGGTAATTGATGTTTTTCCGACACTCGGCTGATACGTCGGCGGCTTTTTTTAGGGTTGGAGAGGTAGATAGAAATAGGGCAAAACAATGTATGTATGTATTGTATGTACATTAGGGTGGAAAAAAAGATTAAAATGTTAAGCATTCTAGGATTTTTCTAAATGAAAAAAAAGAATTCCCATATTTTTTTATAAAAAATGGTATTAGAACTGTTTCCGCCCATAAAGTTTTGCAAGTATTTTATGTGGGGTATTTTTTTTTACATAGAAATAACATTGAATTCTTGAAAATCAACATTTTTCGATCCAGAAACTCTGTATCTCTTCAGGAGACTTCCAATAACAAATGCCCAATTGCTGATTTTACCATTTTGTAATGTTAACTATTTCTTATAGTTCCCCCCGAAAACCCCAAAATGTGTAATGGGGGACCCGTAAAAAGTTTGTAGTATTAAAAAATGATAAAATAAACAAATTGTCTTTGGAGGTCTCCTAAAGAGAAACAGAGTTTTCTGATCGAAAAGTATTGATTTTCAATCATTCTGTACCATTTCTACGACAAAGTGTATTTGCCATATAAAATACGTGCATGGAAAATTTCATGGGTTTTGAGGCAGTTCTAAATAACATTTTTTCTTAAAAAAAATACGAGTAATCTTTTTTCCATTTTGAAAAATCCTAGGGGGCGAGAGTTTAACATATTAAACTTTGTTTCCTCATACATTTTGGGACCATCCTAATGTACATATCGCTAGCTTAGAGTGAAAAGTTGCTAAGTCCACTTTTTACGAAAACTCATATTTTGATGTAGGAGCCTAGAGAAATTGAATACGCATCGTTTCGAAAATTATAAAGGTACTTGTTTTACTTTTTCCTCTTCATAAACAATAAACGGAAAAATTGCTAAGTCCAAAAGAAGCACCGCAAATCCGATAAGGCCAACATAATACGACATCTTTTAATAAGTATTGAAACCTTCTGATTCTTATGGAGTTTTGCTTTGCTTTAAACGCGCAAAATGTTTGATTCAAAGTCTTGCGAAATAGTTAAAGAAAATGGCTATAGGAACATTTTTTCCTCTCCTGTAAAATTTGTAAAATGGGACTTAGCAACTTTTCTTTCTAAGCTAGCGATATGTAATATGTATGTATATACAAATCCGTATGCGTATGCAGATACATATGTATGCATATATTCAAGCATGTGTATTTATTCGGACGAGTGGTAAAGCACTTTTGACAGTGACAGGTGTTTGTTTGATGTAAGTGTGTGGCTATGGTTATTTGATTGTCCCGTTTCTGAAGTGTGCGCCTTATTTGGAGCGTGAGAACTTATGTATGTATCTTGAACGATACCGCTACCGCTACCATTCCATTACTATTGGCATTACCATTACCATTATCACCATCATTCTCATTACAACATTACAATTATTATTACCAGGGAACGGATTTTATGGAAATTGCCTTTTTTTCTGCTAAAGAGATAGAGTATATTCGATTAAGAATGTCCACGATTTTGCTTTCTCTGATTCCATATATACACATTTGATGTTGCCTTTTTTTGCCTCTTTTAAGATATTTGCCTTTTTTTGCCTTTTCTACACCCAGAAAAAAATCGTGTTAAAACAACCAAATTTTAACCAATTTTGTGGTTATTATTTTTCAACGCGATATGTCATGTTATTTTCACATGAAGGAAATTTTTTAACATTTTTCCCTCTTGTTGACTTAACATTGGATAATTGTTAATTTAACATTGAAAGTGCTGTAAATTTAACCTGAAACATCGGTTTATTTTAACAAGGCATGTGGTTGGTTTCACAGGATATTCTACATGAAAATACTGGTTAAATCAACAGGAGTTGTTGTTAAAATAACACTACGTCTTCATGTTAAAAGAACCATATTTTAATGTTGTTTTAATATGACATCGTGTTACCTTGTGTCCCTACTTTTACAAAATAAATAACAATTTGTTTAGTTTATTTTTATTAAAAAAATTGAAATATTTACACTGTTGACTTAAAAACTAAGTACTTATCTATTTATTACACAAAATTCATACACAAAAATTTCATATGTACATACATACATACACTATAGTGCGAAACTGAGTCCATGGTGATTTTTGTTGTACATGTGCAAGGTTTTTAAAGTTAAATTTTTTTTGTTACTTTTTTATGAAAACATGGCTTATGCTTTAACCAAAACTATATAAATCAAACTTTCAGTTTTTATGCAGAGCTTAGAAAAACTCAACAAATTTTTATAAAAATTGTGGACTTTTAAAAAACTTTCAAACATTTTTGGGTAGTTTTGTAGCCTGTTAAATTTTAGTATGATAAAGCGCAAGTTTTAAGCGGTTAAAAAATTGCTGACGGCTTTTGCGGTTTTTTTTATACAACAAGTGCAATTTATAAAAACTGACAATGAAAAAGTTTTTAAAAATCAACGCGATTTTTTATCCGCTTACAACTTGCGCTTTATCAGACTAAAATTTAAGAGGCTATAAAACTGCATGCCCAAAAAAGTTTGAAAGTTTTAAAAGTCCACAATTTTTATAAAAATTTGTTGAGTTTTTCTAAGCTCTGCATAAAAGCTGTATCAAATTGTTTTAAATACTTTTTAAACGGATTGCTTTTTGATTGTTTTGAAGAATATGAATATGTACAGGAGGTGAGCTAATTTTGTCTGCACTTATAAAACTATAACTATCTGATTTTTCACCTACCAAGTATGACTGAATATGTGTACTGAAATTTATAATTTCCCACTGTGAACAAATAAAGAAAAGTTTTTGCATCAAACTTACAACAATATCTTCGATTTGAAACAAGTATATAGCCTCCTGTTTTACAATAACAAAAAACCCTCTTTTAAATAAAAATCCTTTAAAAGTAACTTTTGAATAAAATTGATAATTAGATAATTCATATTCTCTTTGAAAATCGGAATTGTATTTAAAGCTTAAAGTACTAGGTAATACAGAATTAGCGCTTATATTTAAATCTGGTTGAAAAAAACGTTCGTTACTCAAGCTATATGCAAATTTCAATGCGGCTTTAATCGCAAGACTCCATGGAACATTTACACGGCAATTAATTCAATTAGCGTACGTTTTGAATATTTTGTGTACAGCTTCAAATCTCATGCACCACACATTTTTTAATGGGCCGCATTTTTTTATGGCAGTGAAATAATGAACAAGGAAATGAAATTTCGGTTTAAGTGTTTTTTTAAACAGCGACATATAAAAAGAATTATGACTTTTAACTAGCAATTTCAATTTATTTAGCAAAACATCATCGATTTCATTTAAAATAAGAATATCAATGATTTGAAGTAGTATCAAAAAAAATTTCCACACTTCATCTTCTTCAGAAACTAGATCGCCAATTATCAAAGAAAAATGATGCACAAAACATATCATTTCTCTAGCTGTCATTCGAAAGTTACAAGTTTTCAAATTTCCTATACTTATAGGTGGAGAGATGTTTCCAATTTCTGTTTCACCGTACTGAAACATTTGCTTTCGATAATTGAGCGTATCTATACTAAAATACTTTTTAGTTTCAATAATAGTTGTATTATTAAAATTAGAACTTAATTTATTAGTCTGCCCTTTAGTAATATTAGGCCTAACAAAAACAGGTGCATGATAAGATACAGCAGGTGTACTTGGCAACGACGCATGAACTCTACGTAGGTGATTTTGAAAACTATACACGTTTGAAAAACATTGACCACATTTAGAGAAAGTGCAAACAAAATTTTTTATCTCAGCAAAAACATGGAAAGATTTCAAATGGTCAACTAACAATTTTGATGTAGAAGACCTTTCGTTACATATAAAGCATTTGAACATTTTATCAATCTACTCCAACAAGTTTTGAGTATCTTTTAAATAATTTTTAAGTGTAATAACATTTGGGTGTGCACAATCCGCAATGCCAAAAAAGTAGGATTCGATAAAATTATATATGGATTTCGCTTGTATCGGATATTCCAAATTTAATACATGAAAGATTTTAAATAAAGTATCAAGTGATTTTAAAAATGTCGGTACCTTGTAAATTATACTGTCGAAAATAACGTAAAAAGAGTCTAACTGAGTTAGTTTCTCTCCGACTACCAATAGTAGCGGCTGAAGAGGAAGATTCTTTTGATTTAACTTAATCTTTAATTCGTGGTACATCCTCTGATAATCGTTTATGCTGCTGCAATGCAGCAATGTCACTGCTTGCGCATCACATATTGATGGCTTCCATTTAAGCCGTTTTTCACCAGAAGTTTGTCCAACGGAAATTAATGACGGTTTAAGTATCGCATGCAAAAGCAGTGTCAATAAACAATCCATTGAGTCTGCAGAAGAAAATAAAATAAATACTTGAAAAAATAAATATTAGACTTGTTGCTTTACCAGTACTGATGTTTTCGTCAATTTTTTTTAGCATATCAATGGACGTTGCATCTCTTATTTTAGTCTTCATGTAAGGTATAATTGACTTTCTAAATTTTGGCCATTCGTTTAGCAAATTCTGCGAACAGTTGGGAAATTTCGCTTCGAAATCAATTTCAACCTGCAGTATAATTGAAAATATACAAATTCCAAAGTTTTATATCATAAATAAGAAAATTTAAAATAGGTACATATATAAAGCTAAACTTACCAAAGTGTATCCAAGACTGTGTTTCAGCAGCGGCCAATTAGTTAAAATATTTGCGTGTTCATTTAAAATCTCTGCGGTTCTTAATTTGACTGTGTTCGTCCATTTTTCTACAACATCGCCCCAAGGCTCTACATTATGACAAAGCCAATTTTTCATGGCTAAGTCATTTTCATCTGCTAATCGAAGGAAATATTAATCATGGTTTTTCCTTACATGTGTATGTACTTATTTTTGTATGTATGTACGTGTAGGTATTGCACCGTGCGACAAAAACAAAAAAATTTCGAAACCCACGAAGCAATCAATATACTCACGAAACTGTGGGCCAAATATAGTGGTATATACATGCATACACGTACATAGATAAGTACGTTTTTGTAAAATTAAATTTAATATTGCTCGCCTGCTCCGACAAACTTGATTGAGTGGGTTGACATTTAGGTGCAACGCTTAGTGCTCCTGTTTCTTTTTTTATTTTCCTTCGGATGTTTGTTGCCTTATCATAAAGTTTGCCTGTTGGATTTTTGCCATTTCGACGGTTGCAGTAATAGCGCTAAATAAAAGTAAAATAAATGCATTTAAGTGTTGAATTTTTTTTTTTAATATTCACAACGTTTTTCAAGCTAAATTTATTCTGTTATTTTTCTATAAAAATTGTATCCCAGCTTTAGCCAAAACCATATAAATCAGAGTTTCGAACTTTCTTCCACTTTTTATTTCGTAAGAAATTCATGCTTATAAGGAAAAAAGGGCAAAAATCTGTCAGCTAAAAAGTTATTAAAAATCAGTGCTATTTTTTATCCGCTTGAAACTTGATCCTCCTTTACATATGTATTTACAAATTTTGATAGCAAGTGAATATGAAAATGCATACATACCATGTCTTCGTTGGGAAATAAAATTGTTATTTGCTCAGAAAAGGTGATGATATCTTTCATTGTCATAGGCACTGATCGCGCTGAGAAGTGGTCAACAATGGTATTTACCAAAATGTCACGACTAACATCTGACAGCACGGTCTTTTCTCTATATTGTTTAAAGATGCTTTGACCTCTTTCAGTGACATTAAGTATTAACTTTAAATTCTTTGCTTCCATGTCTCTTATCGAGTCGTGAGACTCTTGGCTAGAATTTATCCAACTCTTGCATGATCCTATTGACGAAATGGTATCAGCCTTAAAATAAAAAAAGTATGCAAAGCTTATCATTGATGTGAAAATGATTTACTTACTTCATTCTGTCGCCAACGTGCAACTCTTTCTTTAAACTTTACTCTCGTTCCGAGCATTGATGCAGGGAAAAGTTCATTTATGTCCCCATCGTTGATGAAATACAGACTTTCTACATCCATTCCGCAATCTGTCAATAACATAAATATGCATATGGTTCCTCGCAGATTCTCAAAGTACTTACCGAGAATTCTTTGATAAACTTCTTCACTGAAGTTCATTTTACCACATACGACGTCTTTCAAATTTTCTTTTTCACGTGAAGCTTCAGTGGCTTGGCTTTGCTGCAGTGAAGTCTCAACTTCATTCCCCATGGTTAAATTACCATCAACAACGAAATATATGCCCGCCGATTCCCCAAAGACATTTTCTGTACCCATTCTTCTTAATATTTAAATAGCTTTTTTTAATAATCTTTCACAAATAATACACCAAATAAAAATGCAACCGAATGACGAAGAACGCGCACGCAAATAAAATATTACGGTACTTTTATGTTCTCTAACCACATACCCTGTAAAATTCACAATAGCTCATGTCAAAACAAACAGAAATCATGTTGCCAGACCTTTTTAACATCAACTAAATGTAAATTTAACACTTTCTGTGTTTGAATCAACATTATTTAAAAAAACCCTCATGTAAATTTTACAATAACTCAGGTTGCAACAAACAGGAATCACGTTGCCATATATTTTTAACACTATTCACATGTAAATTTAACACTATATCTTGGTAAATTAACCAAAAATACTTCATGTTACTCTTAACACTTTTTTCCTGTTAAAAATATCATGTTAAATTGGAAAAATTGTTGTTGTTTCGTGTGTACAACTGTTTCATGTGAATTTAACATGGATCGTGTTACTTAAAAATCGAGGATATTTTTCTGGGTGTACCTTTAAAAAAGTGATTATAGCATTTACAATTTTATTTTTAAAATTAAAAAATGTACACATTAGCCATGCGGCTTATAGAAGCGCAGGGACCTATTGCCAAATTGGTGTTGGAAAAATTCAAAGCCGTTTTCTCAGCTAAAGTAGGCTTGGAGACAATAAGGGGTGTGGATAAAATTGTAAAGGCCGAGGAAAACGTCCTTATTCCTGATAACATGAACGTTTCAAACGTTCCATATTTAAATTGGGCTCCACTTGTATCAACTTACGTCGAGCATCTTATGCATCTTGTGGTTCAATGTTACTACAACTATACAGATTAAAGTTTTATGAGTTAGAAACTCGAAAGGATAAAATAGTCAAAGATTGAAAGTACAAATTTTTCATATAATGAAACTAGTTCATAGTTTTTCTCTTTTTACTTATAATATAAACATTTCTAAAATAAATGTATTTTTGCTTGTTCTTCGTATTTTCGGTCTTTTTTAGCGCCTTATTTTGCTTTTTTTTGCAATACCTAGTTCCTTTTCTTGCCTTTTTCGCTATTTTGTTTTGCCTTTCTTGCTATAGCTAGTGCCTTTTCCTGCCTTTTTCGATATTTTATTTTGCCTTTTCCAGCCTATTTCGTTATTTTATTTTGCCTTTTTTATAGGTTTTTAGGTCCTAAAAATCCGTTCCCTGATTATTACTATTGCTATTACAATTATTGTTCCCGTTGCCGTTACCATTACTATTATCATTTCCATTACTATTACTATTGCCACTTTCTCATTTCCATTTCTAAAAGTATAACCATTACCATTACTATTACCATTACTTCTTTCATTCAATACCATTACCATTGCTATTCATACTTAGATGCATATGTATGCATCTGTTCGTTTATTGCATTACGAGTCTGCAACTACTTATTGCAGCAGCAGCCGGTAACATCGCGAGGCTATGTGTACTATGTGTGCGTGTGTATTTTGCCTGGCACTGGTCTACAGTTATTAGACTTGCACAGTCGATACCAGGCGTAATTCTGTCTTAAAATTGTGTACTTGAATTACATATAATTTAAAGGCATAACCGGCGCTTCCATTCACTTAAGGATATTGTGCGTTTTTTCCTTTTTTTTAATTTAACTGATTCCGACAATAACCCACTTATGCGTGCTATTTATGTAAATACATACATATGTATGTATGTACAATGTTTTTTATTAAGGACGATGCCCTCGCTAAATCGCGCCCAACACTTTTTGTTTGTACGATTTATGTTTGCCGCCTGTGTATGAAAGTGTGTATGTAGTATACTATATACACGCACCTATATATGTACATATATATATACACACAAATGTACATTAATATAGTGGCATGAAGAAAGAGCAATCAAAAAAAAAAAGCCTATCGCCCTGAGGCAACGAAATCGCCAAAGCGGAAAATGTTATCAAAGGCTGCCGCCGACTGTAATCTGCAGCGGCTTTTAAGCGGCATTCTCAAAGGATTTGCCGATATGCGGAATAGGCGAACAGCTTTTCGTAGCTGGTGAGGATGTGAGAATGGTTAGTGGTTTGAGTGGCAATTGCAATTTTTGTTTTCTAGATGACACCACCTTTTTTCTTTCTTTATTGGTGTATGATATGGGAAAATACTTTGAATGTGTGTACATATATGATGTGACGGAGAAGTTCTAAGCAAAACTGGAAGTATGTATAAAAAACACAAACCTTTTATAATGTAAGAAAGTATGTACATACATACATATGTATTTACGAGTACTTAAAAAAATATATTGCGGCACTTTCAGTGAAAGTATGCAGAAATAATTCCACATATGTATGTACATATGTACATAAGTATAAATTATGCTGTATAATAATTAGGGTGATGTTGTTTTGAAGTATGATATGAAATAAATTTTTGTACGATCACTAATGTCGCTAATTTCCCTGAGCTTGCGTGCTACTAAGATACCTACATTTTGCCAACTTTAATTATATTTTTATTCTGCCTTGGTGGTCTTCTTATGAGTCAGCTGTCGTAAGAAATTTTCGCTAATGTGTTCAGCGGATGGCTGTCTGTAAAAATAACATCGGTCTGCCTCAGGGATCACAAACGAATCGATACCATTGCTCAATGCAGAGTTATAAGCGTATTATGCCACGAAACCTGGCTATTGTCTCTAATGGTTGCTAAGGGAACTAATAAAGTTTTATACAATTTAAACATTTTCAGATGAGCTTTATTATAACGTCAAGGGTAAAATTCTTATAAAAATAGTCACCTGAGCTGCCTTGAGTTCTTCTCCCAACTAACTAAAAAGGTATACTGGATTAAAAATAAATCAAAAGATAAGACGTAGTCCGTAAAAATTTGTCAAACTAGTATTTCAAATAAGTCTTTAAGTACGGGAAAGCTGAATTTTCGTGCTGCCCGAGGAGAAAGTAAGAAGCCTTCATAACTCCGAGTTGAGAAGATTTTAGGTAGGATTTATCGCCCACATTATCAGCAACAGCTGTGCTTGTAACTAGCGTAGGATGAGTAGAGGCATCCGCAGAGCGGGGTTCTCTCACGCTTTCTTTGGATAGTCCTGGTTGAGCTGCTCTGAATTATCGCATTTGCTGATGATGTAGCACTTACCGTATGATCTTATACATAAAGTGGTTTTTTAACCCACAGTCACAAATTGGTCTGCTTGCTGCGGTTTTGCTATTTATCTAGGAAAGTCAGAACTCGTCTTGTTCATCGGGAGATATAAAGTGTCTTATGCTCAGCTTCCTCTCTGATAGAGCCAAGTATTTCAGCGCGACCCTAGATATGAAGTTATTTTGGAAGCCAAATATTGAGAAGTGAGAAAACAGTGTTCAGTGTAGAAGCTCCATTGGGAGGCGGTGGTAAAACTCTCCAATGGTAATCGAAAGCCATTATCAATCCAATTATATTGCAAAAGATGGTTATCATCTGGTGGAATTCATTAAGAAAGTCTACATTAGTCACATAGCGTCTAAAAATAGTCGCATCCTACCCGTAGACATTGCTGCTAAGGCTACCGCAATCCGCTTCGCCATCAGGCTCATACCCATATGAAAGAGAGTTCAAGTAGTCCTGAATGCATCGAGGTTGGACAGCAGGGTTGGTGGAGTTGTGCTCTGTCAGAAACTCTCCCATAACCTAAAGTATAGGGTTCTAGATTTTCCTAGCGTATTTCGAACAGGGAATGTTTCCAAAAGGGAGGTATTCGACTTAATGCGTGTCAATATAATCCCTATTATAATTACTCTGATAGCTAAGCGGCAATTAGGGCGCTAGGATCGTTTATAGTGTACTCGAAACTGATCGGGGAATGTCTTACCACTCTGATTTGGATTTCTGGGCACAATGATATTTCAGATAACTGTTTTTATGATGATTTTGATAGACATGGAATTCTTACTGTTCTCTGATGGGAGGAAATAGGAGTTTCTGTTTCAACATGTATACTACTCCTGAACATAGGGATAAGTAAAGTTGTAAACTCTTTCTGGCTGGTTGTCGACCGTGGGTGGTCAAAGCAGCTCTTTCAGCAGATCCCGACAGGAGTCCATAGGGTAATAGGAAACTATTCGGTATAACTTAATAAACATTTCGTCTCGTTTTTTTCATCGACAATGCCGAAAAAGCAGTTCCAGCTGCATGCGGACTTTCATAAGTACCTGCAGTTAGGTATCGTTTCATGAAAATATGTAATAAGTAATACATAGGATACAATCATAACACAAGAGGAAATACAAATTGTCCGAGCATGACACTAAACTAACCTCCTCTGGAAATCGGTCTCAGATCACCCAGTCGAGTTCTTCCGCGTGTGCGGTAGTTGGATAATGGGAACCATATCAGGGGACGGTACACTTACCTGTGTATAACTTTTCAAGGCTCTTCATTGTGTAAGTACTGCAAGTAATTTTGTGTTCCTTTATATAGCTGATGGTACAGTGTTCCGAATGAGAGTCCTGTGGCCCATTCATACTTCAAACTAACACTAAAAACATTACAAAGTGATCAAGTTTTTTTGGCTACATCTCTAGACTCGTGCTAGAGTACCCCATTGTTACCAGCAGCATTGATTTGTGCGACTTCAAGAAACTCCACTATACTTAATACCATTGCTGTTGATATTGTAATAGCATATAAAATCCAGACTGAAATGACAGTTCTGGCCAGATATAAATCTAGTTCGTTCTGGATCCGACTTTCGTGAGATTGTGCTATATTTTTTCAATCTTTTGTTAATGTAAATGTAGCCATCTGATCGCATTCCAAGAATCCCATTATTGTTGTTTGTAAAGGCGATGTTACATAGTTTCGCCGCATAACTAAAAAAAAAAAATAAAAATTGTATAAATTGTTGGATCCATCACACCACTATGGGAAATTTGAACAATTTTTTTGCAAAAATTAATTATAGCTAAATAAGTAGATGACTTTAGAAAACATGATTTTTTTATTGATTGGCATAAAATTTCCCATTTTTACGAAAAAAAATTGTTTAACCCTTGACGACAAGCGGAATAAAATGGTCACATTTTAAAATGCGGTTTTATTGAAAAAGTTCAAATACAATTTTTTTAAACATTTGTTGAAAAAAAAATCCGCCTAGTTATAAAAACTATTTTTTTAAAAATGTTGCCAAATTATATTGATTTGAATGGAAAACCTGGAAGGTGTTCTTTCCTGAATTGTTTGCCAAAAATTTAAAGGAGTAGCCTGTGCAGCAACAAAATTGTTAACAGCCTTTCGATTCCTCTCTTTGTTTAAGTTCTCCCCTCCAAACGATAAATAGTTCACTACCGGCAGTGTCAAGAATGCTTACAATCAAAAGTCATTTTCTTAGAAATCGAAAAAATCACAACATGAAATTGACGAACTAAATTCCAAACTGTTAATTTGATACGTTCACGATAGTTTAAATACAGCCAACATTTAAAAAAGGGCTTTCCAAATTTGATTTTTAAGAAAAAAACTATAAAAATAATATAATAAAAAATATAAAAATAAAAATAAATTTCTGAAAAAATTCGAGTTATAGATCTTA